AATGTTTCACTGTAAGGCCAAGAAAAAAAAGTACACTATTTAAAACGTTCTTTTATTCGGAACTTGGTTTTATTATCGATTCCTCCATGGGAATAAAAAATGAATTCAATGTATACTGATCGCTTGCCTAGACCAGAGCCATTGAACCCAGTCTCTGTATGCCCAGAGGCTGCAACACTACGATGCACCACTAGTGGGATCCATGTCTAGCGCGCTCTTCCACTCAGTGGCTGGGGCAAGTGAAACAGCAACTAAAAACAAATAGCTGTCAAGGAGACTGCAACTCATGGCGACCCCATGTGTGTCAGAGTAGAACTGTGCTCCATAGGGTTTCCAGTGGCTGATTTTTCATAAACAGATCACCAGGCCTTTCTTCTGAGATGCCTCTGGGTGGCCTCAAACCTCTAACCTTTCAGTTAGAGGCCCAGCACATTAACTGTTTGTGCCACTCAGTGTCTCCAAAACCAACTGTCTTTGAGTCGACTCCGACTCATGGCGACCCCATGTGTGTCAGAGTAGAACTGTGCTCCATAGGGTTTTCGATGATTGACTTTTCAGAAACAGATCACCAGACCTTTCTTCCAAGGAGCCTCTGGGTGGATTCAAACCGCCAAGCTTTTGGCTAGTAGCCCAGTGCGTTAACCATTTGCACTACCAGGGGCAACTGAGAGCTGGCCCCAAATAATGCAGTAACAGTAGGGCTGAGTCTGAATTTGTCAAAGATAAATCCACCGTCTCATCTAGGTGATTTCCTTCACTGGTCTTTGGCCTTTATTAATTCAAGCATTTCTACCACAGAGTACATACGGGAAGAAAAAAGAAAAAGAACACCCTAAGGTATTCTGCTTGACTGTAGCAGTCATATACTTGGACAGGGGCGGCTGTCTGAACTCCCAATTCAATTTGTGTTTGAGACAATCTGTGGACTTCAATTCCTTGCTATCCTCATTGCTACCGAAAATAAAAGGCCTACTTTCACAGCTTCCGGCCAAGTGAAAAATGGCCTTCAGCCAAGCAGGGCACCGACATGGACATCAAACACTATACATCAAGTGCTATGTTTCTAACACTGCTCACGGGATTATACTATAGGTGTACATGGCAGAAAGAGCGTAGGATTTGAAACCAGAAAACTCGAGTTCAAGCCCCAGCTCCACTACTCAGTGGCTACGTGAACATGGGCCAGCAGTGTATCAGTACTCGGCTTTCTCTACAATATCAAGTGACTAACAACAATTATGACATCCCAGGGAGACTGTCAACTCTCAATTAGGTGACAGAACACACGTGAAGAGCACACCAGAACAGGAGACAGAGACCAGCAGACTTAGCAGCAGGTACTGTGCTGCTGTCACGGTAACTAACGTTTGCTGTTACTCTGCTGTTGGGTGCTGCTGAGCCAATTCCGACTCACAGCGACCCCGTGTGACAGAGCAGAACTGCCCCCCAGGGTCTCCCAGGCTGTCATCTTTACAGGAGCAGATCGTCAGGTCTTTTCTCCTATGGAGCCGCTAGGTGGGTCTGAACCGCCAACCTTTCAGTTAGCAGCTGAGAGCTTTAACCACTGTGGCACCAGAATGACTGGATAATTCTTTGGGTCAACTGGCGGCTAGACATCTGAAAGGAGGTGCAGAACCCACTGGTCTGGCAGGCTACACATGCATCAAGCAACACAGACCTCAGCATTGCTAAAATCTGCAGCCTTTGGCCACCTTTTCAAGTGGATGTGTCCACACTGTGCCACAGAAACCCACCTTGTGAGAACTTCAAAAGAGCTTTTAGGTCTCATGCTTTGATGATCCCGGATCCAAATTAATCGAAGCAAATCAATACATTGGGCTTTGGGGGCTTTGTCTTTAAGGCTCATAACAGGCTCAGCACATTTTATAACTTTTTAAAGTCTGCTGACTCAAAATTCAAAAATAAAAAACATTTGATGGATATCTGAAAGCTCTATCTGAGCCTTATGCTCAGATAGATACAAAAGCAGTAAACTAGATGACTAAAAATTACTAAATTAAAATTAAGACTTTTTGTTTATTAAGAAAATGTTCTGCATCCCACTCTGGTGAGTGGTGTCTGGGGTCTTAAAAGCTTGCGAGTGGCCATCTGAGATGCATCAATTGGTCCCAACCCACCTGGAGCAAAGGAGAATGAAGAACACTAAAGACATAAGGAAAATATTAGCCCAAGAGACAAAAGGGCCACATAAACCAGAAACTCCATCAGCCTGAAGCCACAAGAACTAGATGGTGCCCAGCTACAGCCAATGACCATTCTGACAGGGAACACAATAGAGAGTGCCTGACGGAGCAGGAGAGAAGACCAGACTTAATGGTCTGACAGAGACTGGAGAAACCCCCAAACCTATGGCCCCCAGATGCTCTGTTAACCCAAAACTGAAACCATTCCCGATGCCCACTCTTCAAGCAAAGGTTAGACTGGACTATAAAACATTAAATAATACTTGTGAGGAGTGTGCTTCTTAGTTCAAGCAGACATACGAGACCACATAGCAGCTCCTGTCCGGAGGCAGGATGAGAAGGCAGGGAGGGACAGGAGCTGGTTGGATGGACACGGGAAACCAGGGTGGAAAGGGGGAGTGTGCTGTCACATTATACGGACTGCAACTGGTGTCACATAACAATCTGTACATAAACTTGTGTATGAGAAATTAACCTGAGCTGTAAACTTTCACCTAAATCACAATTAAAAAAAAAAAAAATGAAGGCTACTTTTTTTTTCATTTCTGTAGACATGAAACATACAGCAGGGACAGTCCCCAGTTTTCTGCTTTGCTTTCACTTGAGAAAGGTGTTTCAGAATGTACCACGACCAATGTCAACAACCTTAACATCAATATTATGAAAAGAACCACCACTCAGAACACAGCTTCCAGACCAATCAGATCAATTCAAACACTGCTGCCTGCTGTTAAAAATAAAAATAAAAAATAAAAAAAATAAAAAAGCAGCATACTTCATTTTCCTTGGCAGTCTTTTCTTTAAAGATGTATGCCAACAATTATCCCACAAAGCCCTTCCAGATTCTGAGGAAAGGACAACAATCTTACATTTAGGTTAAATTAGCAGTTAATGAGAATTTCATTTTAACGTGCCATATTGATTCTTCATAGCATTTTAGGACCCCATTTTTAATGAATGCACCTTTTTATTTAGGCTGATTTAATAGGGCTTAGAATTTAAGTTGACTTTTTATCATGAGTTGGAATCGACTTGACGGCAATGGATGGATGGATTTTTACTCTAACCAAAGACGGATGGATTTTTACTGTAACCAAAAAAAAAAAAAACACAGCAGTTAAGCACTTGGCTGCTAACCAAAAAGTCGGCAGTTTGAACCCACCAGCCGCTCCATAGGAGAAGGATGCAGCAGTGTGCTTTCAGTAAAGATTATAGCCTTGGAAACCCCAATGGGCAGTTCTACCCTGCCCTATACGTTGCTATGAGTCAGAACTGACTCGAAAACAATGGGTTATTTTTATTACAGGCACATATGAAGGTTTATAGTTAACATACTTTTAAAACGTAGTGTTTATCACTGGGTTTTATTTTATAATAAAAATAATATTGCTTTATTTGAAGAATATGTTCCCCTTTAAAATATAATTTCTAAGTATCATATTATCACGTGAAATACGTAATGAACTCTCCCATAGCTCCAGTCTCACAAAAGTTTAACAGCTGCTTTAGGAATCTATCCTACATAATATCCCACATTCAGTGAAACTGACAGTCTTCTCATGGAAAAAAAATTAGAAAATGTACTAAAATTAGAAATGCAAAAACCAAAAACAAAACTCATTACTGTCGAGTCGGTTCTGACTCACAGCGACCCCACAGGACGAGAAGAACTGCCCCACAGGGTTTCCAAGGCTGTCATCTTTATGGAAGACTGCCGCACCTTTCTCCCGTGGAATGGCAAGTGGGTTCAAACCACCAAGCTTCTGGTTAGCAGTCGAGCGCTTAACCACTGTGCCACACAAAAGACTGTCTAATATTCAATTTCAGAAAAGTACTGCTTGAAATAAGGTGAAAAAGGAGAAGAATTCTGCCTATTTATATTTAGAACATGCTTCTTTTTGACATTATCACCATAGCTTTATTCTGCACCCTAGCAGAAGTCTGCAATGACACCAAAAACGTGAATAAAAATACCATGTATCCAGAAGCCGGGATTTCCTCAAGCAGGCAGCATGTTTACAAGGCATCTTTTTCCTTTTCTCCAAATATACCCACTGTTGTTGGATGCTGTTGAGTCATTCTAACTAATAGTGACCCCATGTGACAAAAGAGAACTGCCCCATAGGGTTTCCCAGGCTGTAATCTTTACAGAAGCAGACTGCCACATCTTTCTCCCGTGGAGCTGCTGGTGGGTTCAAACCACTGACCTTTTGGTTAGCAGTCAAGCGCTTAACCATTGCACCACCAGGGTTCCTTCTAATATACTTATTCGTGAGCAAATACAATACCTTTTAAAAAAAAAAAGTTCTAACTTTTACATTTAAAATAAACATAAATAGAAGGAACAGCCTTCAAGAAAACATTCTTTTCTCGTAGTCTCTAACCTTGAAATCCCCCGAAATATTCTGCTCTTCTGCGTGCACTTCAGAGACTGTGCCCGGGCAGGTCTGGCTATCATAACAGGATGTTGTTTTGCAAAGTGGATTTTTATTCCCAATACTGTCTCTGAGGAGGCTTCCACAGCGAAACCTTTCCATTTCCAATTTAAAATACTGTTCTAAATGGTATTTAGAAGGGCTATGAGCACCTACACTTCAATACAAAATTGTCCTTCCTAATTGACCTTGGTGTCTGAAATGGTACAATGAGTCTCACTGATTAAATTACTCCTTTTACTTCAACATTACATCTGTCATTATTCCTTTCTCGAGTTCATGCCTGGTTTGGACTTTTTTTTGTTATTAAAGGCAACCTGCATTTTAAAAGTTCAATAAAAATGAATAACCCAAAACATACTTCTGTCACCATGAAATTTCTTGCATGTTTTTACTGCAACAAAGATATGCTCCTTCTTCACTGGCTTTCCCTAAAAAAAAAAAAAGAACAAGAAAAAATATATGCACGTAAGATTCAGCATTATCTTAAATTCACATCCATGTTACATATCAAATGCTCCACCATTAACTTGTAGCCGTCAAGCCAATTCCGTCTCAGAGCAACCCTACAGGACAGAGTAGAACTGCCGCATAGCGTTTCCAAGGCTGTAATCTTTACGGAAGCTGACTGCTACATCTTCCTCCTGTGGAGTGGCTGGTCGGTTCGAACCGCTGACATTTCAGTTAGCAGCTGAGCACTTAACCACTGTGCCACCAGGGCATATAGGTACCCAAAAGGGATCTAGGTATTCCTTTCCTTTTTCCAAATGGCAAAGATTTTGATGAAGGGAGACCAGTAGAAGGATGTTCTGGTGCAAAATAAGAGATGACTCCCTCTCTGGGCCCACCCTTACTCTGACACCTGACGTGTTTTACAGGTCCTTTAACGGGCCCCTAAATCTAAGTTAAGACATTCAGCCCTCTGCCGAAGGTAGGATTACTTCAAACACCTAACACCCTGAGCTGGCTTAGATCACACAGATGAAGGGGCTGCACCTAGAGGGGCTGTGTGAAGCCCACATCCAAGGCAAACAGCAACTACAAAGGGTTTTTCTGGCCCCGTTAGAACACCTCTCAGGCCTCATGGCACCTACATCATTGGGGGCTGATTTAGAGTGACAGCTAATTACAGCTTTGTCATGTCACTCAGGCAGTCAGAGGCCAACGCTTCCAAAAACCAAACCCAAACCTGTCGCTGTCAAGTCGATTCCAACTCATAGCAACCCTATAGGACAGAGAAGAACTGCCCCACAGGGTTTCCAAGGCTGTAATCTTTACAGAAGCAGACTGCCACATCCTTCTCCCTCGGAGCATCGAGTGGATTAAAACTGACGAATTTTCGGTCACAGCTGAGCACGTAACCACTGAGCCACTCCCCTAAAAGAACACTAAAGAGCAAGCATGCATAATGCTGAGAGAGACAGGTTTTCCCCTTCAGGGATTCTGCAAACATTACAGGTTCTGTTCCATTGTTGCAATACATTGTTGGAGCCCTGGTGACTCAATGGTTAAACGCTTCGCTGCTAACTGAAAGGTCTGCAGTTCGAACCTACCCAGCAGCTCGTTGGGAGAAAAACCTGGTGATCTGCTCCCGTAAAGACGACAGTCTAGAAAACCCTACGGGGCAGTTCTACCATCACGTGGGGTTGCTATGAGCTAGAATCGACTTGATGGCACCTAATAAAAACATATGTATACATATAAAATTTATCTTATAAAATGGCACACACAGACTTTAGTGTGATTGACTTGAGAATAACAGACAACACTTGAGTTTTCTTCCAATTTTTCTCCTTATGAAAAGAAACTGTTAACATAGTGAGTTTCAGGGGTCTTTAGGCTCATTCTGGGGATGGGACCAAGCGTCTGCAAGAACGAGAAAGTTCATTCTGAAAGTTCTGGATGGTCTCAGGTGAAATCAAAGGCAGGGTCACCGGCTGACAGAGAAAAGGGCATGGGCTTGGGGAGAGGGCTTAGGTATATGGGAAATGTTTAAAACAGACTTTCTAGGAAATGGGATAGAAATTTTATTAAACCTCTTGCCATTCAGTCAATTCCGACTGATAGTGATCCTATAGGACAGAGCAGAACTGCCCCAGAGGGTTTCCAAGGAGCACCTGGTGGATTCAAACTGTCCACCTTTTGGTTAGCAGCCGAGCTCTTAACCACTGCATCACCAGGGCTCTGAAGAAGTTTCATTAGACACACGCTATATCATCAGCCAAATAAACGACTCTGGGCGCACGGGCTCTACAGAGCTGTGGCAGGCAGCACTGTACAGACTCTGGGGTGAGACACGGAGCCAGATCCTCACTCCATCTCCGCTAGCTGTGGAACTCTGAGCAAGGGCTGAACTTCCTGATGCCTCTCCTGTCACCTGTAAGATGGGGATACCAGCAGTACTTACCCGGCAGGGTTGTCATTAGTAGAAACATGACATGTCACTCTTGCCTGGCACAGAGCAAAATGCTCAACTTTAAGTATGTAAAGTGCTAGGAGAACACCATACACAGCATGCAAACTTTCCCTCGATCCACGAAGAAGTGCTTCCGCTCCCACTTACACAAAGCGGCAGGAACGAATGGAAGGTGGTGGCACAGTGGGAGCCCCCTCCATCGGTACAAAACTCAGCCACTGGAGTCAGTGGAGGTCCGCCACCTTTGTCCCAAATGTAGAGGGCAATCTGTTGCGAGACAGGACACCAGCAATGAAAGAAGGAACTCAGCCAGAACCACAGGTATAAGACCAGACCACACCTGATGCCATCGAATTGATTCCGACTCATAGTGACCCTATAGGACAGAGCAGAACTGCCCACAGGGTCTCCCAACGAGTGGCTGGTGGATCTGAACCACCGACCTTCTGGTAAGCAGCCAAACACCTAACCAGAGCGTCAGCAGGACTCCACAGTGACTCTGTAAGAATGCATAAAACATCTCAAGAGACAAGAGAAGATGCCTTCTTCAGAGTATTAGGTTGAATCATAGCAATTTGTGAATAGTCAACATTTCTTTTTACCTACAAAAATGATAATTTCTGAGGAGCAGAGTTTTTAATTCTCATGGAATCCAGATTTTTGGGTTCCATGGAGGTTGGGGTGATTCACTCTATGGCCCCCGAGATGATCTTTGAGGCTTCAGAAAACCGGACTCCTAAAACTCACCTTCAAGTCAAACAACGGTCTGGCCTTGGGCACTGTGCTCTCTTCAGAACTACCTGCCTGTGGTTAGTGTGGAAAACAGAGACTCCAAAGGTCACATCAGAAGCTCAGTCGTAATCAGTAACTAATTGTTATTCAAGACAATGCTGTATGGAATCCTGTTTGACCACAAATCCTTGTATCAGTTCTATTCTGCCCCTTTATCCATGGTAATGCATAATTACCAGTGGTAAGATGGAATACAAAAATCTGTGAAAGACCTTTCTTCTATGGAACTTTTTTCTTTTTTTTTTTTTTGGTGGGGAGACTAAGTCAGAAATTTAGGCTGCTTCAATTTGCAAATAGTATGTTATGACAAACTTCAATCAATTTCTATTATTGGCTTAATATGATTTTTGTTTTAACATTTCATATGGATCCATCTAATTCTTTAATAATTAACTATGAATCAATAGTCTGGCCTCCAAAAAATTCCAAAGTATTTGTAGAAGATTTCAAGGAAGAACACATCCTAAAACACCACAGAGAGATGTTATTTTTAGGTACCACTGAGTCAGTTCCAACTCACAGCCACCCCATATGCAACAGAATGAAAGAAACACTGTCCCGTCCTGCCCTATCCTCATGATCATTGTCATGCTTGAGCCCATCATTGCAGCCACTGTGTCAATCCCTCTTGTTGAGGGTCTCCCTCTTTTGTGCTGACTGTCTACTTTACCAAGTATAATGTCCTTCTCCACAGACTGGTCCCTCCTGATAACGTGTCCAAAATATGTGAGATGAAGTCCCACCATCCTTGCCTCTGATGGGCTGTTATTTGTTCCAAGACATGTTTGTTTGTTCTTCTGGCAGTCCATGGTATATTCAATAGTCTTTGCCAACATCATAATTCAAAGGCATCAATTCTTCTTCGGTCTTCCTTATTCACTGTCCAGCTTTCACATGCATATGAAGTGATGGAAACACCATGGCCTGCGTCAGGCGCACCTTAGTCCTTAAAGTGACATTTTTGCTTTGTAACACTTTAAAGAAGTCTTTTGCAGCAGATTTGCCCAATGCAATGCATCGTTTGATTGAAGACGTAAGACGATATTATCCCTGACTCTGGTTTCCTATAGCATGGTAATTAGATACCCTGAATGGCCAACTTGATGAAAGTAACCGTTACTGAATTGTGTCCCCAAAAATATGTACTGTAAATCTTAACCCCTATACTCGTGGATGAAATCCCATTTGGGAATAGGGTTTCTTCATTATGTTAATGAGGCCATTATCGGTATAGGGTATTTTTCAGCCAATCACTTTTGAGATATAAAAAGAACAGTTTAGACACAGAGACAAGGAAGCACAGATGGGGGAAGATAGATCCCACGTAAGATCACTAAGGAATCAAGAAACAAAAGCTGGAAAGAGACAAGGACCTTTCTTCCTCCAGAGCCAACGGAGAGAGAAAGCCTTCCCCTCGAGCCGGCACCCTGAATTGGACTTCTAGTCTCCAAAACTGTGGAAAAATAAATTTGTTTGTTAAAGGACCCACTTGTCGTATTTTTGTTATAGCAGCACTAGATGTGCTGACCCAAGCCATGGTATTTTCAGTCGCCTCATATGCATTCGAAAGCTGGACAATGAATAAGGAAGACCAAAGAACTGATACCTTTGAACTATGGCGTTGACAAAGAATACTGAATATACCATGAACTGCCAGAAGAACAAACAAATCTGTCTTGGAAGAAGTACAGCCAGAATGCTCCTTAGAAGTGAGGATGGTGAGACTGTTTCACATACTTTGGACATGTTATCAGGAGGATCAGTCCCTGGAGAAGGACATCATGCTTGGTAAAGCAGAGTGTCAGCAAAAAAGAGGAAGACCCTCAACAAGATGGACTGACACAGTGGCTGCAACCATGGGCTCAAGCATAACAACAATTGTGAGGATGGCGCTGGACTGGGCAGTGTTTCCTTCTGTTGTATATAGGGTCACTAAGAGTTGGAACTGACTCGACAGCCCCTAACAACAAGATACCTGAGACAGTACCTAAAAATGCTCGATACACTATTTTAAAAATCATTTTAAATATATTGCTAAGTTGGCACGAAAGTAGGGAAACCATGTAGGACAAAAACAATGTGAATGTGAGAATCCTGGGAGAAAAAAGGAGCCCCAAGTGTTGTTTTCCCCCAGTAGGTTCAGTGGAACCCTGTCAGCGCCGAGTTCCTGGTAGGAGTTCAGAGAATAAAGCCTAGGGCCCACCTGAGGTGGGGAGTGTCTCACAGCAAAGCCCCACAGAAAGCTGGGCCTTGTAGCTAGACGGGGAGTGGGGATAATCCCTCTGAGATTCGGTAACCAAAAGCCAGCGCCCCCTGACTTGTGCCGCTTGTGTGGCCCCAGAACCTCTAAAACTGAATACTATACAGTGGTCTCAGGTTAGTATAACCCTCAGGCAGAGGGAAGAAGCACATGCAAATGCCTCCTGTGGGAATTCACAACTTTAATACAGAGCTTGGAGAACCGCCACAGATGAAGTTCCACAGGAACAAGAGTCCTTACAGAAAAATCTCACACACACACACACACACACACACAAAGGACAATGAGCAAAAGCCAGAAGACACAGTTTAATGTTAACTGCATAAAATGATGACAATGCCTAATTTACAGGGTTACCAAAAAAAAAATATATATATACTGGGCAACAATAGCATGTACATTGGGAGTGGAATAATCAGAGTAAAGTTATTCAGAAACCCCTGAGTCTTCAGGATATTGATTAATTAAGATATTGTGAGGTTATGAATATACGTTAAAGTATTTAAAATAACTAGTAAAGTACTGACAAAGAAACCGAACTTCCAAACTAGTAAAGGAGAAAAACGTGGAATAAAAAAAGAAAAAAATGTAATAGAAGGTGAAAAAGGTTTAAAAATATAGTGGAAAATATTTGAGTTTTTCTTCTCTGACAGGTTTCTGCCTAACACAGGTCCTGGCTTTTGCAGGTTTTACCGTATTAGTAATCATAATCAACATAAATGGAAATTTGTTTTGAAGATAAAGATTGTCAAACTGGGAGAAACAAGATATAATTTCTTTAAAAGAGCCACATCTAAAAGATGGGACACAAAAGAGTTGAAAGATAAAGATTATGAGGCAAACACCAAGAGAAAGCTTTTGTTTGTGTGGCAGTTGCTATCAAGTCGATTCCAACTCATTATGACCCCATGTGTCATGGACTGAATTATGCTGAATTATGTCCCCCCAAAAACGTGTGTATCAATTTGGCTGGGCCATGATTCCCAGTATTGTGTGGTTGTCCTCCATTTTCTGAATGTAATTTTATGTTAAAGAGGATTAGGGTGGGATTATAACACCCTTACTGAGGTCGTTTCCCTGGTCCAATGTAAAGGGACTTTCCCTGTGGTGTGGCCTGTACCACCTTTTATCTTACAAGAGATAAAAGGAAAGGGAAGCAAGCAGAGTAGGGGACCTCATACCACCAATAAAGCAGCACCGCGAGCAGAGTGCATCCTTTGTACCCGAGGCTCCTGCACAGAGAAGCTCCTAGACCAAGGGAAGATTGATGACAAGGACTTTCCTCCAGAGCTGACAGAGAAAGCCCTCCCTGGAGGTGACACCCTGAATTTGGACTTCTAGCCTACTAGACTGTGAGAAAATAAATTTCTCTTTGTCAAAGCTATCCACTTGTGGTATTTCTGTTATAGCAGCACTAGACGACTAAGACACCATGTGTACCAGAGTAGAACTGTGCTCTAGAGGGTTTTTAATGTTGATTTTTTTTTGGAAGTAGATCACTAGGCCTTTCTTCTAAGGTGCCTCTGAGTGGAGCACAGTTCTACTCGGACCAACAGGGGCTGCCATGAGCTGGGAATTGACTCTTAAGCCAGATGCTGCCTACATAGGTGTTTTGTTGATTGATGTTTACACTTTTCACATATCTTAGAAATATTATTTTGTATTTAATCAATGTTTAATAAATTTCTAGGCAGACCCTGGTTTCTAACTGGTCATTCTTTCCTTTGTGTAGAATGATTTTTTTTTTTTAAGTATACTTCTCCCCCAATAAGCTATTTCATAATTTTAAAACATCCAAAAAAAAAAACAAAACAAAACCTGCTACCATCAAGTCAATTCCAACTCATAGCAACCCTATAGGACAGAGCAGAACTGCCCCTTAGGGTTTCCAAGGAGCAGCCGGTGGATTCAAACTGCAGATCTTCTGGTTAGCAGCCAAACACTTAACCACTGTGCCACCAGGGCTCCTGAAAACATCTGTGAGGCTAAAAAGCCAGCATCACTGGACTAGTTACGTTTCAAGATTTACATAAACATCCTAAGACACAGATCTGGGCACAAAGTGATGATGGACGCCTGCCACCTGCCTCTCAGACAGCTGGTCACAAGTGTCCACTAAACTCCAAGGGAAGCAGGGGTGTTGGAGACCTAGGCTGGCATGCCCATGGCTGACTACTTTGGATCAACTGGCTTCATGTTGCTCCGAAGACCAAGCACAGATCCAAGAAGAAGGCATAAGCAAGACCAAGGTACCAAGTAAGACCAGAAATATTTACTTATACTTTATTTTTTTTGTTGAAAATATATACAGCAGAACCTATACCAATTTAACAATTTCTACACGTACAATTCAGTGACACTGATTACATTCTTCAAGTTGTGCAATCATTCTCACCCTCCTCTGCCAAAATGTTCCTCCCTTACTAACACAAGCTCACTGCCACCAAGCTTCCTGTCTAACTTTTCAAGTTGCTGTTGTCAGTTTGACCCCATACACATAGTTCTTTAAATGAGTACAATGCTCAAGACAAACACTCTTTACTAATCAAGCTAAACTGTTCCATGGTTTAAAGATGACTCCGGGGGAACAATGAGAAACCATCTCATCCCAACAGGGCCTGCATTAACCCAAAACACACAAAATAATAAATGTTGGAGAGGTTGTGGAGAGACTGGAACACTTATACACTGCTGGCGGGAATATAAAACAGTACAATCACTTTGGAAATTGATTTTGCACTTCTTTAAAAAGCTAGAAATAAAAGTGCCATACAATCTAGCAATCCCACTCCTTGGAATACATCCTAGGGAAATAAGAGCCGTCACACGAATAGATATATGCACACCCATGTTCACTGCAGCACTATTCACAATAGCCAAGAAGATAGAAACAACCTAGATGCCCATCAATGGACGAATGGATACATAAATTATGGTATATCCACACAATGGAACACTATGCAACAGTAAAGAACAACGATGAATCCGTGAAACATCTCATAACATGGATGAATCTGGAAGGCATTATGCTGAGTGAAAATAGTCGCAAAAGGACAAATATTGTATGAGAACACTATTATAAGAACTCAAGAAAAGGTTTAAACACAGAAGACAACATTCTTTGATGGTTACAAGGGTGGGGAGGGAGGCAGAGGGGTAATCACTAACTCGATAGTAGACAAGAATTACCTTAGGTGAACGGAAGGACAACACACAATACAGGGGAAGTCAGCACAACAGCACTAAACCAAAAGCTAAGAAGTTTCCTGAATACAACCAAACACTTTGAGGGACAGAGTAGTAGGGGTGGAGCTCTGGGGACCATAGTTTCAGGGGACATCTTGGTCAACTGGCATAAAAAAGTTTATTAAGAAAAGGTTCTGCATCCCACTTTGATGAGTGGCATCTGGGGTCTTAAAAGCTAGTGAGTGGCCACTTAAGATGCATCAATTGGTCCTAACTCACCTGGAGCAAAGGAGAATGAAGAACACCAAAGACACAAGGAAAATATTAGCCCAAGAGACAGAAAGGGCCACATAAACCAGAGACTTCATCAGGCTGAGACCAGAAGAACTAGATGGTGCCTGGCTACCACCAATGACCGCCCTGACAGGGAACACAACAGAGAGCCCCTGACGGAGCAGGAGAAAAGTGGTGTGCAGAACTCAAATTCTACTAAAAAGACCAGACTTAATGGTCTGAGACTGGAGGGACCCCGGAAGACATGGCCCCCAGACTCTCTGTTAGCCCAAAACAAAAACCATCCCCGAAGCCAACTCCAGACAAAGATTAGACTGGACTGTAAGACATAAAATGATACTTGTGAAGAGTGTGCTTCTTAGCTCAAGTACATACATGAGACTAAATGGGCAGCTCCTGTCTGAAGGCAAGATGAGAAGGCAGGAGCTGGTTGAATGGACATGGGAAATCTGGGGTGGAAAGGAAGAGTGTGCTGTCACATTATAGGGAGTGCAGCTAGGGTCACATAACAATGTGTGTATAAATTTTTGTATGAGAAACTCACTTGAACTGCTAACTTTCACTCCAGCAGATATTTTTGGTTTAAGTTTAAAGATTACCTCAGGGAGACAGTTTTGGGGGTTCATCCAGCCACCATGGCTCCAGAAAGGCTGGATTCCATGAGAATTTAAAATTCTGCTCTGCATTTTCCCCCTTTTGAAGACCTGAAGTGGTTTTAATGACATGTTTGCGTTTTTTTAGAAATTCACCTCTGGACCTATCCACCTAGGATTAAAAATGAAGATTCAAGAATCATAAGATGCAACCTTTCTCCCTGCTCCTTCTCCACCTACGTGACTAAAATGAGCTTAACGCAGAAGGCCCTAATTCACTGGGGTGCTGTGAAAATTAGCTGGTAGGGAGAAGATGGATGTAGGTGGGAAAATGCACTGTTAGGGAATATAAAACACCTCCTATGTCAAAAGCCATAACTTCTTCATTATTGAAACTTTTAACCAAAAAAAACAGGACATACCTCATGTTTTAAATCTATCGTAAAGTCGGATTTCAGGGAGTCACTCTTTAACTTCTTGGTAAGCCTGGAAAATAGAGACAATTTCATTTTTTTTCCAAAGCCAAAAGAAGTGTCAAACAAGATAACACATTCTTAGGATTTTCAAATATTAAAAACAGATTTAAAAATATACAACTGTTAAGACAAAAATAAGAGTTCAAGTTCCTTGAGGAAAGGATAATGAAAATTTACTTGTTGACCAGTACATACTCAATGCAAGGCTTGTTGGAAATGTAACATTCATTATTTCAACATGTGCAAATAAAATAAAATGCCCTCGAAAAAACAAAGTCATGAAGTTTTGACTAATCCTTACACTAAATAATGACAGAAAGAAAAAGAGAAAAAGTGTGCATGACAGAGAAACAAAAGTTGCTACTTTTCAAACTTCTACTTTGAAAAGGAGACCCAGTGATACAACAGTTAAGCACTCAGATGCTAACCTTTAGGTTGGCGGTTGAAGCCCACCCATGGCTCTGCAGGAGAAAAGACTTGGTGATCTGCTCCGGTAACGATTACATCCTAGGAAACCCTATGGGGCAGTTTTACTCTGTCACAGGGGGTTGCTGTGAGTTGGAATCAACTTGACAGCACCTAACAACAACTTTTAATAACTCCCGTGAGTCTGCGGATTTTTTGGAGGGAGGAGGGTGAAGTTCAGGATAAGAATAAATTTTATTTTACTTTTTCAAGTCATTTCCTTGCAGACAAAAGTCCTCCAAAATTCTTTCCAATGCATAACAAAGCCCCAAACTCCCGAGCCCGGCCTCCAGGTCTCCACCACTCCCCCTCCATCTTCCACCAGTTTTCTCGGTATCGACTTGCTCCACCCTGAGCGCACTCCTGCCCACTATCCTTCATGCTGTACATCTGCCCAGCACACATGCACCCAACCTCTCCTGGGCAAACTCTACTTCTTCAAGACCAACTCAAGGGATTTCCTCTGTGACACTTCCCAGACTTGCCCACCAGGATAAATGGAAACCTCCTTTGTTCCCAGAGTTCTAAGCGCGAACCCATGAAAGCACTGATCACGTGTACTATGATCCCTTGTTCACCAGGTCCTCTTCTTTGTATCTCCAGCCCCTCCCTCTGCATCTGGCCAAAATGAAGACTCAATAATTGCTCACTGAATGAATGATGGATTTATTTTCTTCGACTGCAAACTGAGTGAGGTAAAATTATATACTTCCCAAGATCACTGAAATACCACACCAAAACCAAAAGAAACTTGTTGCTGTCAAGTTGGTTCCAACTCATAGCGACCCACCCTATAGGACAGAGTAGAATTGCCCCATAGGGTTTCCAAGGAGCGGCTGGTGGATTCGAATGAAATACCATACAGTTCTATATTTGTTACTGGTCTGGGGACTAGACCTATGTGTGGCCCTGCTGGTACAGTGGCTAAGTGCTATGGCTGCTATAACCAAAAGGTCAGCAGTTCGAATCCACCAGCTGCTCCTTGGAAACCCTGTGGGGAAGCTCTACTCTGTCCTATCAGATTGCTGTGAGTCGGAACTGACTCGACAGCAACGCGTCTGGGTTTTTTTTTTTCCTTGGGGACTAGACCACCAGTTTCATTTGCAAGCCTCCTAATACATAGTGTAAGTCTGTGGGTGGTACAAATGTTTAACACTTGGCTGCTAACTGGAAGGTTGTATGTTCAAGTCCACCCAGAGGTGCCTCTGAAGAAAGGCCTGGCAATCTACTTCCAAAAAAATCCGCCATTGAAAACCCCGTGGAGCACAGTCCTACTCTGACACGAGTCAGAACTGACTTGACAACAGCTTTTTTTTTAAAATACATATTCTAACTACAAAGAAATAATAGTGATTTAAAGGAGAAAAATAGTAATAAGTTTCAAATAATTTTCAGAGTTTTTAATTACATCTTAGCTTGGCTGGGTCACAAAAGTTTTCTTAAAAATTCACTTTTAAGTAGAGAAAAGATTAAGAAGGTGGAAGCGGGTTATAATTTATATTTAGTTATAACGCATTTGTCTCATGGTTGATCACAATGTAGCTTGTGGGAGGTAGCTCCAAAAGAGGACCGATGTAGTCTTTGCCACATTGCCGTTAAATATAAACCAAAAAACCAAACCCGCTGCCGTCGAGTCGATTCCAACTCAAAGTGGTCCTCTAGGACGGAAAAGAACTGTCAATTAGAGTTTGCAAGGCTGTAAATCTTTATGGAAGAAGCCTGCCACATCTTTCTCCCACAGATTGGCTGGTGGGTTCGAATCACCAACTTTCAGATAGCAGCCAACCACTGTGCCACCAGGGCTCCCTTAAACATATACACAGCCATTTATGACTATGAGCAGGTAAAGACACATAGAGAGATTTCATTTCATCTTCAGACACATTCCCAATATACTAAGAGAAATCTGCTCTGGCAACTGGGACCTCGTCCAATTCAAATTCTGCTAAGTTGGAGCCAGTTTTCATACACAAACCGTATCAAAGTAACTCTGGAATTCGGACTCTTGTCAAATGCCTTCAAAATCTGATGAGACCGCAAACAGTAACTTTCATCTCATTCAGGTTCCAAAGACAGAAAACGGCACAGCTGGGCTTACTGCCCCGGGGAAGGGACACCAAGTTCTGAGCAGAATCCAGATGGTACCTCAGAAGTCCCTAGTTTGATGGCCAAGTTTCAGATGTCCCTTCTTAACAGAAAATAACCACCTCTGAGTTGCTACCTTAAACATGCCCCCTACGGTTTTGGTATTTTTAATTCCTTTCTCATTCTAGATTTTTCTTTGGGAAAAACCTCGGAGGGGGAAAGTGTGAAGACCGTTGATTTGAGGACAAATTAATATGTACGCTGATAATTCTAAGTGTCTATCTTCGGCAGCAAGGGCCCTGATGGCACAGTGGTTAAGAGCTCGGCTGTTAACCAAAAGGTCAGCAGTCTGAACCCACCAGCCACTCCTTGAAAAACCTATGAGGCAGTTCTATGCTGTCCTACAGGGTCACTATGAGTCGGAATCAACTTGATGGCAGTGGGTTGGGTTAACATATTTTACAAGACTCTAAGCCCTAGGCCAACCAAACCAAACCTACTGCCGTTGAGTTGATTCCGACATATAACAATCCTTTAGGACAGAGTAGAACTGCTCCATAGGATTTCCAAGGGTGTAAATCTTTATGGAAGCAGACTGCCACATCTTTCTCCTGCAGAGCAGCTAGTGGGTTCAAACCACTGACTTCTCAGTTAGAGGCTGAGCACTTTAACCACTGTGCAACCAGGGCTCCTTAAGCCCTAGGCACAGGGTATCTAACATACGAAATGATAAAGACCCTTTTGTCTTTGAAGCTATAAAGGCCACAGTTGTTTTATCAACTTTCCATTCCCTAAAGACCAAAGACACATAATAATTAATCTGAAGTATTCAGACTAAGAAAGGGCCTATCCGTAGCCGTATTTCTCCTAAATTAAACCCACTGCCGTTGAGTCAAATCCAACTCATAGTGACACTATAGTAGAACTGCCCCATAGGGTTTCCAAGGCTGTAATCTTTATGGGAGCAGACTGTCACATCTTTCTCTCGTGGAGCGGCTGGTGGTTTCGAACTGCCAACCTTCAGGGCAGCAGCTGAGCCCTTAACTACTGTGCCACCAGGGCTCCTCTCCTGAATTACAGCTCGATTTATCTTCACTTAATCACATCTAAATCACTGGGATTATACATACAAATATCTAGGCATGATTATCTGCAGTATCTTCTAGTAGCTATCTCTCTGCCTGGCCCATGTTTAAGTATGTATATACACGCACACACACAAGGAGCCCTGATGGCGCAGTGGTTAAGTGCTTGGCTGCTAAATGAAAGCACAGCGGTTCAAACCCACCCAGTGGCTCCACGGGAGAAAAGACCTGGCGATCTGTTCACATAAAGATTACAGCCTGGGAAACCCCACGGGGCAATTCTGCTCTGTCACATGGGGTCACTATGAGTCGGAATCCACTAGACGGCACCCAACAACAACACACACACGTAATCAGCTATCAACCACCAGCCCCAGGCATGCTGCCGATTCATCTTCTCATAGGCAAACAAAGTCACATCACATCTAACAAAGTCCATCAGCCACAGCAACGAGGCTTACATCTGTGCACTTATCAGAGCATTTACAAGCACTCTCCCTTAGTCTCAAAACGTATTTGCCTTATTTTACACGTAGGTAAGTGGCCGTCCCAAGAGGTGATGTGACTTGTCTGAGGGGACCAGTACGTGACAGAGCTGAAACAAGAGCCCTCAGGTATCTGCTCCTCATCTACATCTCTCCACTCCACCACACACAGCCTCTGGACAAAAAACTCACTGGAGACCCATCTGTCACAGCACTCAGTGAAATAAAAGCTGATCCACAGAGCCAAGGGGAAAAAAAAGTCCAATAAATTCTTACTTGTTGACAAGTGGGATACTAAGGGCCCAGCCAGCGGCGAAGTCTGGATATTTAAAAATTGCAGGATTTTCTGAAAAGGCGTAATGGTGAATTATTGTAGATTCTTCATCATGTAATGCTTTTCCTAAAAACCATTCCTGTTACACAGAGACACAAAATGTCATCTTTTAAAAATGTCTTTCGTGCAAGGCTGAGAACAAAGCTTTATCACTAGTTTTAGTTAATTAAGTACTCCAGGTGATAAGAAGTCAGCACAGATTATACATTTGTAAAAAAACAGAACACAAATCTAATTAACACCAGTATGATAATGAATACAGCATGATCTCTGTATATAAAGAAAGCAGTTTCAGATCAGATCATCAGTGTGAACAGAATGTTAGTAATTATACCATAAAGGTGTAAAAGTGGTATTTTATAGACTATTCCATAGCAAAATACTATTTAAGTAATAAGGAAAACTGTGTGCTTACTCTCTAGTAAGTTTTCAAAGACTTTAAAATATTCCTTCTATAATCAGTACTCAGTTTTACCCTAATCATTTGTTCATTTAATTAATATGTATTGAGAACCCACCTTACACTAAGGTGAGGGAGACAACAACAAAACAGTACGGTATCTTCAGACTGAAATGTGCTACGATGACAACAGAAGTGATGGGCGAGCTACCCCGGAAAGAGAGGGAAACTGGGGTAATCACTGAACTGAGACTGAATAATGTCAAGGAGCCAGCAGTTGTGGATTGAATTTTGTCTCCTAAAAATATGTGTCAACTTGGCTAGGCCATGATTCCCAGTATTGTGTGGTTGTCCTTCATTTTGTGATTGATGTAATTCTCCTATGTGTTGTAAATCCTAATCTCTGCCTGTGGTTAATGAGGCAAAATTAGGTTATGTTCAAGAGGATTAGGGTGGGATGTAATGCCCTTACTAAGGTCACATCCCTGATCCAATATAAAAGGAGTTTCCTTGGGGTGCGGCCTGCACCACTTTTGAAGTGAGCAGAGAGTTGGGGGACCTCATACTACCAAGAAAGCAGTGCCAGGAGCAGAGCGCATCCTTTGAACCCCCGGGTCCCTGCGCCTGAGAAGCTCCTAGTCCAGGGAAAGATTGATGGCAAGGGCCTTCCTCCACAGCCAACAGAAAGAAAGCCTTCTCCTGGAGCTGGCACCCTGAATTTGGACTTCTAGCCTCCTAGACTGTGAGAGAATAAACTTCTGTTTGTTGAAACCATCCACTTGTGGTATTTCTGTTAAAGCAGCACTAAATGACTAAGACACCGGTTATGCAAAAATATGGGGGAGAACATTCCAGGCAGCTAGCACAAGATTCCTGAAATGGGAAAAAGCTTGATACATTTGATGAGAACAGAAGTCCAACACAGCTGGGGCCTACTGGGTGTGTCAGCATGAAAGAGAGAGGCAGGAGAGAGACCAGGATGGTTTATACGGCAGTGGGAAGGAGGTAGTCTTCATTCTGAGGGCAATGGGAGATTCTACCTCTAGCCACCAGAGAATACTTGGATCAGACTCAACCTCCCACCAAGAACTAAAAAAGCTGGAGAAATGACATAAAGCAAATGATGGAAGGCAGCAGAAAATAACAAAGGCAGGTAGGACAGCAGGGGCTAAGATCCCAGAGGGAAGGGAGGGCCATCCACGTGAGCCCCATAGCCATGTCCTCTTTCCCTCAGGGAAGGAGCCCTGGTGGTGCAGTGGTTAACTGCCTGGCTGTTAACCAGAGGGTCAGCAGTTCGAATCTACCATCTGCTCCGTGGGAGAAAGAGGTGGCACTCTGCCTCCATAAAGATTAAAGCCTTGGAAACCCTATGGAGTAGTTCCACCATGTCCCATAGGTCGCTATGAGTTGGAATAGACTCGATGACAACAGGTTTGGTATTTTCCCTCAAGGAATTTGCTGATCCTCAGAGCTGGGAATAGCGCCCCAGCCAAAAGAGTAGGTGGGCCCTTCCGCAGTCTTGCCAGGTTGAGGAGGTAGAGATTTAAGAGAATTCCAGCAAAGTGGGTCCAAAATTCTACATGCGATTCCCCCTCAACTCCTAGGCTGCACAAATGCCAAGGCAGTGGGGGACACAGACCAAGTGGAAACAGCAGCTGAGAGGCTAAAAAGCTGAACAAAGACCTCAGCAGGCTTGTGGTGCTAGGGAGTCCAACTCAGGGCCTGTCAGGGTGAAAGGGCTCTAATAAATATCTCAAGATTCCAGATGAGAACCTAGAAGAACTACGCCTTAGGAATAAGGACGATCTGGAAGTAGACCTATCCAAACAAGGTGTACAACCCAGAGGAATATTAAATCCTCATGTAGAGCATGAACCATACACAGCTCTTCAATTTTTCACATAAAATATCTGACATTTAGTCAAAACTACCAGGTTATGACAAGAAACAAGACCAGACCAAAATCAAAGAAGAAAACAAAAATGGAAAAGAGAAAAGCCGTTCACAAGTAAACCAGATTCTGTGGTTATCAAACAATGACTTAAAAATAATGATGGCTAGTATGTTTAAGAGAGCAGGTTTTAAGATGGGGAATTTTACCAAATAACTAGAATTTATAAACAATAGTCAAATGGAAATTCTAAAACTTAATAATGCAATAATTTAAGAATTCAAGAGCATATTAGACACGCTGGAAGAGAGGATTCATGACCTGGAAGGTGGGTCAGTAAAACATATCCAGATTAATGCACAAAAAAACGACAAAAGGAGAAAAGTATTAAAAAAAAAAAAAAAACAATAAAAAAAAAAAAAAGCATAAGAAAATTATGGGACATGTTGAAAAGATCTAAAATGCATGAAATTGGAAACTTAGAATGGGAGAGAAAGAACGGCACTAAACAAATATTTGAAGACAAACGGGCTGAGAATTTTCTAAAGCTGCCAAAAGTCATCAAGCCATCAATTCATGAAGCTCTACAAACCCCAATCCAGGAAAATACAAAGAAAACCACACAGGATAGTAAAACTACTGAAAACCAAAGACAGAGACAATCTTCAAAGCAGCCAGTGGTTGAGGGGAGAGAGTATACACATTTCTCTGAAAGGAGCAAAAACAAGACACCATACAGGCGACTTTTCAGCCGAAACAATGGAAGCTGACAGACAATGGAATGACATCTTTACAGTGTTGGAAGACAATCACTGCCAACCTAGAAGGCTAGGGGGCAGTGGTAGTTCAGTGGTAGAATTCTTGCTTTCCCTGCGAGAAACCTGAGTTTGATTCCTGGCCAATACATCTCATGCACAGCTAATACCTGTCTGTTGGTGGAGGTTTGCACGTTGCTGTGATGTTGAACAGGTTTCAGCAGCGCTTCCAGACTAAGATGAGGAAGAAACACCTGGTAATCTACTTCCGAAAATCAGTCAATAAAAACCTTACAGATCACAACTTTCTGATGAATTATCGATCAAGGGGATGGCACAGGACCAGGGAGCATTTTGTTTCATTGTACGTGGGGTCACCACGAGTCAGGGGCCAGCTCAACAGCAGCTAACAACAACAACAGAATCCAGCAAAAATACCCTAGGTGGGATGGGAAACCACTGGAAGTTTCTGAGCAGATGAATGATATGATCCAAATTATAGAGAGACTCGACTATGAGGACAGTAAAAATGGAAACCATAAGACCAGTTAAGAGGATCCAATAATGATCAAGGCAAGAGATGTTGGTAGTGGTCTTGGGGAACATCTGGCTTAATTGTCATAACATAGTTTATAAACAAAATGTTCTACATTCTACTTTGGTGAGTAGCGTCTGGGGTCTTAAAAGCTTGTGAGCAGCCATCTAAGATACTCCACTGGTCTCACACCATCTGGAGCAAGGGAGAATGAAGAAAACCAAAGACACAGGGAAAGATTAGTCCAAAGGACTAATGGACCACAACTACCATGGCCTCCACCAGACTGAGTCCAGTACAACTAGATGGTGCCCAGCTACCACCACCAACTGCTCTGACAGGGATCACAATAGAGGGTCCTGGACAGAGCTGAAAAAAGTGTAGAACAAAATTCTAACTCACAAAAAAAGACCAGATTTACTGGCCTGATAGAGACTGAAGAAACCCCGAGAATATGGCCCCCAGACACCCTTTTAGCTCAGTAATGAAGCCACTCCTGAGGTTTACCCTTTAGCCAAAGATTAGACAGGCCCATAAAACAAAACAAGACTTAAAGGGGCACACCAGCCCAGGGGCAAGGACTAGAAGGCAAGAGGGGACAAGAAAGCTGATAATATGGAACCCAAGGTCAAGAAGGGAAACTGTTGACATGTCATAGAGTTGGTAACCAATGTCATAAAACAATATGTGTACTAACTGTTTAATCAGAAGCTAGTACGTTCTGTAAACCTTCATCTAAAGTAAAGTAAAAAAAAAAAAAAGAGATGATGATAGCCTGAACCAGAGTGACAGCATTAAACATGGAGTCAAGAAAGTGAGAGCTATATCGTGGAGGAATACCCAACTGGACATGTCAACATGGGGTTGAGGGAAAAAGAGGGATCAATCATGAGTCGTAGGCTTTTTTTGTCTGAACAACTGGATAAGACAGTGATGCCATTTCTGAGACAAGGAAGATTGAAGATGGAAGAGGTTTAGAAGGGGGCATTAAGAGTTCAGTGCTGAACAGGTTCAGTTTAAGCTTCCTATCAGATAACTAGACATATTAAGTAAAACCATAAAACCAAAGCCATTGCTGTCAAGTCGATTCCAACTCATAGTGACCCTACAGAACAGAGTAGAACTGCCCCATACAGTTTCCAAGGCTGTAAATCTTTACAGAAGCAGACTGCCACTTCTTTCTCCCATGGAGCGGCTGGTGGGTTCAAACCACCGACCTTTCAGTTAGCAGCCAAGCGCTTAACCACTGCACCACTGGGGCTCCCTGGACATATTAAACAGGCAGTTTGATATAGGAGCAGACAGCACATGGCTCACTCCCTTATTTCCTTCACACTCTGCTCAAATGTTACCTGAACAGTGAGGGTTCCTTCAACCCCCTACATAATAAGTTAGCCACCCCCAATCCATCCTTAACCCCTTTTTCTGTTACATTTTTCTCCACAGTACTTATTACCACCTGACACATTATATATTTATTTGCATTTTTGTTTATTGC